CGCTAAACAGGCAGACGCCTGCAACGGATTCTGCCTCTTCGCAGTGTGCCACACTTGGTTCCATCAGAGCGATTTGGTCCCAAATGAAACGTTTGAAGGAAGAATCGTCGATTGGTGCATTGAACATGATCCAATCGAAGTTTCTCCGACGTACGCGCGAGAAGGTTGGTGAGATGAAGACACCAACCGCAGGATTGTGTGGAAGTACCCGTCCTAGGCAGCGCAGAGCCATCATTGGCCAAGAACAACTCTGTTGGTTATGCTTAGGTTACGGACATTTGCTCGGCACCCATGTGTTTATACTGCAGCAAAGCCCACCATCTAACATTGTGCCTGAATCCCCCGAGAGCGCGCAGTTTATTCTTCCCACCGACACGTTTCCATCGTCGAACATTTTCGCCTAAGCGCGTGCAATTCGCGGAAACTCAGACTTCTCCAAGCCACGCCCGCACAGGTCGCGCTGTTCTTGACTGCCTGTTGGGAACCTCCCTTTTTTTCCACACTTTTTACAATTTCTTTTAGTTTTCCAGTAAATTTGTTTTTCTTTCTGTTGTTTTGCATTCCTAGGTTCTTTCGCACGGCCGTCCTTGTCCGCCTGTAGCAACAACGTCGCACGAGAACGGTGGTTCCGTACCATTTGAGCTGACGACTTACTATGAGCGACCATGACGCGCCTATGTAACGAGGAGTTTGTAGGTTGAAAGTGAAAGTTTTGATTCCTTCCACCTTGTTTTTTATGACTTTTGCTTTTCTTCTTTACACTAGTCCCTTTGTTTGCAGACCACGTAGCTCATTTGTTTTACCACGCTTAACCTGGCTTTAGACCCTAGCTGCACCTTTTGAGTATTGCAGCCAACCCTTGTGGCACTTTCATTAGTTGCAATTGTGAAAACACTGTTAGCGCGCCGCCATTCCTATGACAGTCCTGATCGCGGGAGGCTGGACTAACGTCCATTTTTTCCCTTTATAGGCTAAACAACTCTTTTTTGCCACTTTGGCATCGGCTCTTAAAGATTGCAGTATGTTTACCCCATGCCATGTTTGCCGCATGCCATTTTGCCATGAAAACTACACCCTGCACTCTTGAATTCCATCAAATCGCGTTAGGCCTAAG